TTCACTTGATAAAGTTCATCTAAGGCCTATACAGGAAGCATATTCGTAAAGAAGGTGATAAACTTGCACATATTAAGAAAATCTATCCTATCAATATCTAAAGTAGATGTGAGATGATTATGTTGGCTTTAGTTCACAACCTTCCACTATATAAGTGAGAACACTTCCATACTCATACTTAATTTTCAATTACAGAAAAATGAAGATCCCCAGAAAATGTCATCCATTCTTTTCTTTCCTACATCTTAATCTGTTTCTCTCTTTTTATCTCTCTATCTGTATTTCATACTTTCTGCTTCTTTGATGTTCCTTCTTTATCTCTCCCATCAACCCCCCCCCCCCTCTCTCTCTCTCCCCTTATATCTCTCACTCTTCATATCTCTCTCTCTCTCTCTCTCTCTCTCTCGCCCCCTCTCTAACTCTCCCTCTCTCTCTCTCTCTACCTCTCTCTCTTTCTCTATCTCTCACTCCCCTCTCTCTTTCGATATCTCTCACTCCCCCCCTCTCTCTCTCTCCTTATCTGCCTCTTTATCTTTCTCTTATAGGATATTAAAGTTGGTGATATTGTCACCATCAACTTATATCATGTTCCCCCAAACAGCTCCATCAACAGATGATGCAAAGAGGTTCTTGGTATGACATATACATACCAGCTCTGACCTTCGTCATTTCTATGGTATTGACAATAAATATTGACACACAAATACTATAAAAGATATTGGAGGTTCTCTTAATTCATGAAGCAATTGAAATATAATAGTCATAAATGTAAATCATTACTGATAAAGACAATAGGTCATCAAAATCAGTTTAAGGGTTGTCATAGCAACAGGATGGAGTTGGTGTTTCATTTGAAATGAGATTGAGATGATGTACATAGGTACTTGTTTATGTAGAGCCTTGAAAGTAATGGGTGAAATCCTGGGTAAATTGGTTCAAATGTCAAATTGAAGTATATTTCTCTTCTCTTCCATCCAGAGTTATGGGATAGCAGATAAATATGGTAGGATGGTTAATATAATTCTTACAGTGCTCAGGGGCAGAAAGAGGGAGAGGGGGGGGGGGGGGGCTCCGTTTTTATGTCAAAATAAATCCCATCGGAATTTCTCTCACTAAATGTTTCATTGTATCAATATTGTCCTTTAAATTCTGCTAATGAGAGCTTAAAAGATTGAACAAATGATATACTACAGATGTGATATTATGTTTGACAGGAAAGATATTTTTGCTTTTCTTCCTTTATCTTGTGCTCCAGCCCTCCCATTTCTAAAAATAGTTTAAGTAATAAGTCAACATCAGGAGTGATGCATATTTCATAATACACCCCTTCAGGGTTAAGACCGCCATTTTAATTTGTGAGTACGTTGCGTAATCAATGTTTTCAGATGCGCATGTATTGTTGCATCACTGCCTGCGCTGTGCGCTCACATCATATCGACACATGCGCTTTGCATGCTGCATAAAATAAAAGCAACTCTCCATATTTACTCGTAATCTAAAATGGTGCCCATGTCGGCGTATGAGCACTCATGTTACTGTGAAAGAGGGTATTCTGTATTATTATTATTTTTCATACTTAATCAGAAGAATGAAAATGGTGAGCTTCACTGTGCAGAATTTTTTTTTTGATACTGCTTTTTGCCCATTCACTCTGTACATCAATAATCACTAATCATATCCCAATTTCATGGGTTTCTGCTATTAACCATTTGATAAATAACCTTCCACATAAATCTTAAGAAATCACAAAGCTGTTCTGATATCAACAAGTAAAACACTGACTTCACCGAAGCTCGCTACCCACTGACTCCAGTCAATTCTGCAACAAGTAAATTTCAAGACTCTATTGATTTCACGACTCTCATCAAATTCTCATTACTTCCCCCCAAATCTCACATTTTGATATTGCAGGGTCTGGAGAGCATTTTGAGAATTCAATAAAATCCCATCGTTTATCCCATAATTGGGTAAATATTTGCGGCGGCACGACCTGCCAAAATGGGGCTGTCACATCATGTTGCTGAAACAGACATCAGTTTTGATTGGAGAACAGAAACTTTGTGACTCCACTCCATTTTCTTTGAGATATGAAGGAAAGAAAACAACTAGAAAGGACTCTGAAAAGAGGATGCAGATCACTGCTACTCTGACTTAGTCAGATCAATTAAGTCATAAGATTATTTATATATATATATATAGTGATTTTCTTTCAGCATAAAATATGTTTAAGCTCCAAATAGTACACAAAAGTTGTTTGAACTTGATGAACAAAATGCATTTAAAAAATGATTTATCTTATGTCTTATTCACACACCACATGCTATACTACTTCTGAAAGAGGTAATAATTTTTCTTTTGTTTTAATTTGTTGTTGTTTGTCATGATTTTTTGATGAAACTGCCCCCCCCCCTCCCCTTCAGTAACAATGTTTAGAGGGTTGGATCTTTCTTTAGCCTTCTCAACACTTTTTGAGGCATGTGCAACTGCCCCTCCCCCTAAAACAGAGGATTTTTGATCTGCCAGTGATAGAGACTGCTGAGATTCTGAAATGGACTGGAAGTGTGAATGGCAAAATTATTAGAATATCAGAAACAAGTCTATTGCGAACAGTGGTATCAAACCTACACACATTCACACCCACCATCAAAATTCTATTAAAGTTTGATTTTGGCAAGGACTGACCGCTAAATGATTATCATCAATGCTTCCAACAGAATGAAGGATTTAAATTTGTGAACAGTTTTCATCCAAAGCGAGGAGAAGGTGACTAGGCTACAGTCTAATATCAGTCAATTTAGGAGGTAAGTATGTTAAATGAACAGAGTGGGTGGTCAAGAAAACACTGAAATTAAGGGAAATTGCGGAAGAAAATTGAATAAAAACCAAAACAAATAAGAGACCGGTTGAAGGAGACCAACAGAGAATTTCTGATAGATAGTAAGATATTACAAAAACCAAAAAGGATGGTGGAGAGAGTGTGTGAGAGAGAGGGAGGGAGGGAGGGAGGGAGGGAGGGAGGGAGGGAGGGAGGGAGGGAGAGAGAGAGAGAGAGAGAGGGAAAAAAGAAGTGGATGAGACACAGTTAGATGAAAACATTGAATTGGAGTATGCTTGTGTATTCCCTTGCCTATTTCAAATCTTCTTTTCTATGCTTCTCATGTCAGCATGCTCAACGAGGAAAGTTTTTCAAATATTCCATCTCTTTGGGGCTTGAAGGGCAATAACACTGTGTTTAAGTGTACGAGTTAGTGCCCTTCTGGCTCTAAACAGACAATTTGTTGATATACCCTGTACTTGTGCCATAAGCAAAAGATTAACCATGGTAAGTGATGTTGAATGAAATGGATTTATAAGATGTACCTTTGGACCAATTGTACAGGATTATAAGTTTGTGAGATGCCCTTCACCTTAATACTTCAATCTGACTTACTGCATGAATACAAGACAATCAATCCACAGCGGATTGTAATGGATAAGCTCTCTAAATCTAGCTTTCTCAGCAGAGGGCACTATTTGCTGATTTTTTAATTTGCCAAATTGATCATTTAATGTCACATAGATAATCACTCCTTTGACCTATACCTCACCCCCACACACAGCTGTCAGCTAAAGACCAATAACAATCATTTTGAGCAGAAATTCCAAATTAAATAGCTCTACTCAATATTATTTGAGGGTGACATAAACTGAATGTACCTTAAGAAAATCCAGAAAATTTCACAGCATTTTCTAAAAATTACAATTGCAAAGGAATTTCACAGATACAATGTGTGTGAGCTTCGGTTCAAAGTTCAAACATCGATTGAAGTTGGACAAAGAATAAAATGCTAACAAAGATCTAATTCATGATCAATTTCAATAGTTATTATAACTAACAGTTTTAAATGTAAGTTGTAGAATAAATGGATCAAAATAAGATAAAAATCAATGTTATTTCTTAAATTCTGATCTTCTTTTATCGTCAATCATCCTCTATTCTTTTGTGTGATTAATCAATGTTTCCCAGAACAAGCACCAACAGTACCACAATTATGACTAGTGTCCTAGACAAATAATATTCATAACCATCATGAATATACAGATAAATAGTCCAATAACAAAGGTATCCAGTAACCTTTGACCCCATGCATCTCTCTCACCTGGTGCCCCTCTATAGGAACCCCACTGTGACTGGAATGCACTCCTAAAGGGACCAGAATGCTTTCTCCTCTACTATAGTCTATTGGTAATCATTCATCTATAGACTATAAAGTTCCTTACAGATATGTGAATGATTTGTGTTACGTGCATGCAAAACATTTTGGCCCAAATTCACAAAGGAGGTTTAGATTTAACCTATGGTTTAAACCTTCATTTACATAACCCATGATTTGAAAATTAGCGCAAAATAAGCGTACCTTGCCTTGTGCGCGTCTAATATTGGACCTCTGACTTGTGTCGTGCTTATTTTCCGCTTATTTTAAACTATGGGTTATGTAAATGAAGGTTTAAACCATGGGCCAAATCTAAATCTCCTTTGTGAATTTTGGCCAATAGCTTTGATCTGAAGAATAGTTGATGAAAGGTCTTTTGATTATAATATCAATCACTTTGTTGATATTTGATGTATTGCTAGCTGATTGTATATTTTGAATCAAGAATGTGCAGTTACTATTTTTGAAAATTAAAAAGGCCAAGTTTAAGTTTCTTCAGAGGACTGACTTTAAATGCCATCACTCTGCTGTAAAAATGACAATTAATATGGAGGATTAAACTTATCTTGTTCTCTAAAATTCCTTACAGGAATCATGGCAATTTCTAAATGTATTGCATCTCAAAGAAGAAATTCTAGACACATTGTTAAGTTTAAAAGTGAAGAAAATAAACTTGGGAACTTTTCGTGATTATCCATTACCTTGTATTGCTGAAAAAATAAACTTTGGTGAGGTTCAATCGTATCTATAAAAGAATGTCTTTCTTCTGTTATTACATGAATTTATTGGTTATTATAGAAATCTCACCTCCATTTATGTGGCACAAATCCTAGGCACTTATCTCCACAGCTCAAACAGGGCTGCCCTTTATCCACCTCTTCAAAGGCGGAATTCTGAAATAAATAAATAGGATATGAGAAAACATAGATAGTTAGTATTTGACAATACGTCACATAGTTTATTAGAATACAACAACTAAAAAACTCAAATGCAATGAATACCCTGGATGATGGAAGCCATGGTGACATACAAGTTCAATTGTATTAATGGGCAACTTTTTTACTACACAAAATAAGCTGCACTATTTTTTGTATTGTTTTCTTTCATTGGCACATTCCTGTATATCAAGAGTGTTAAGAATACAATAGTGAGACAATAACATTGGATATGGTCTCCCTCCAGTACTCCTCCTTCCGTTCACCCAAGAACAACCTTATCAATAACTGAATACATGCATTATTTATTGTCTGGATATCATATATTTTGGCAAAGCACCACTATACATGATTTATTTATGATTGCAAATGTCTGACAAAGGGCCATTATTAATGGCGTTAATATCTACTGCTGATGTTAACACACTATCAATATGACACAATACCAACAAAATTTAAATGAAATGAGTAAAAGGATAGTTCACTAATTGGCTGGTTTCAAGAAAGTGTTTCTAGCCTGATAAAGGATGCCCCCTTTTAAAAATATACTGACCAATGAAAAGTTGGGTGCATGAACTAAGCATGTATCAAGGTTCTACTACTGTAAAAAAAACCCAGACTTTCACCTCCATGAATGGTCACAAATTTCACAAGGTTGTTGAGATTTGCATTTTTTTTTAAATCACAATTTTGCTGTTCTAGTAAGTTTTCCATCATGAAAAAAAACCATCATTAACAATTCACAAAAGTTCTATGATGTGATTTAATCATACAGTATACAACCCTTCAATGAGAAGATGAAAAGAAATGGATTATGTTCAGGAAGCGATACATTCCTAAAAGAATGGCTCAATTTAGCAACGGCTTTGTAAAGGATTTGTTTCTTGTACCCTTCTGGCTTTCAGACTCTAATAAACCTGATCCTTGATTGATGTGTTCTGATTGGTATGGAGTGAAGACAATGATTTATGTCCTGAAATGATTGGATTAATTCAACTTAAAGGCATCATTTGACGATGTTAAATCTGAGATGCATGGCCGTACGTGTTATCAGTGTCTGTGATATGGTGTAATATTGAAGCCCTAAAAGAAATGCGCTTCAAAATTATCATGAAGTGCTTCAAAAAAGTAAAAATCTTTGAGTGACCAGTTTCACCATACTCATTTTCCCCAATAGACTGTAGTGTTATAAAAACCGTTGGGGAAATGTTTTTTGAAATTTCGATTTCCAATCATAAATATCTTGATAATCGGCATGTAAAAGTCATGGAATTCCTGACTGACCTAAGGTTTATAATTACGATTGCAGCATGAGCTAAATCCAGGATTTTGTTTCAGAATCTGAGGCAATGTTACAGAGTCACTTTAAGATGAACCTACCAGAGCAAGGAACGGGATATCACTTTCGAATTACTAGAAAATGATTGGACAGAATCTCATTATGATTTTGCCAACGTTTGACAGGGCTCAACACCAACTACTAAAGTTCAAGACAAATGATTCCCTCTTTTTGAAATAAACTCAAAAACTGTGAAGTTATTTAATTAAGAGATACATAAGGATTCTCTGGTCTTGAAAATACCCTCAAATGTACTCCTTAGATTTAGCAAAAGTAAGGAAACCTAGAATACAAGGCTCATTGCCTGTTCAGAGCCAGAAGGGCATTATTCTCTGTGTTCAAGAATATGAGTTTACGCCCTTTTGGCTGTAACCTTGATAACCAGCCATTTATCGAGTTTCATTCTATGCATGCATGATATTATCAATCTCATTGCTCTTCACCATTCTTCTATTTTGCTTTGCAGATAAACTGTGATAGATGAGTTTGTATGCAAAACTCTCTGCAAAATAACAAATTCCTTTACAATAATATTATCATAAACCCTATGGCCTATACTACTACTTTTGGTAGGGTCCATGATATTAGCAACCCCACACTCCGCCTTAGACAAAATATAACCTTGAACAAGATAGTTATGACACCAGTCTAGAGTTCAGTATGCTGTAACATATCTTAGAAGAAATCAGCCACAGAGATGGCAAGAAATAGGTCATGGATCAGATGTATACCAGGCAACCAGAAATAGAAACTATAGTTAGGTTCACATGACAGCCAATTGATATTAAGTTCAAGCCAAGGTTTCAAACTTCTTAGTTATCTCGTAGTTTGGAACCATGAAGATGGACCCGTAGTTATGAAACTGCGAGTTCACTTGAAGTTATAGCCCCCAAGTGGTATTAAGGTTAATGGTGGTAGTGGTGGTTATTTTAGTTGACTGCTAAGAAAGTTAGTAAGCAACCAGAGGACCGACGGTGATCCTCTGTGATAACTATGAGCAGTGGGGGTCCTCACTCAAAAATATTTGCCGTGTAGACACAACTAACCTCCAGGTTGTGGCAACTTTGATTTTTTGTTGTTGCAGTCCCGTGTGAACCCTCCTTGTTGTTAGAGGATGAGGTTTATAACTTTGAGGTTTTGATGTTGCCGTACAAAAATAGCTCATGTTTGGAACCATGAAGACGGACCCATAGTTATGAAATTTGAGTTCACTTGAAGTTATAAACCATGAGCGATATTACGATTAATGTGATAACTCTGAGCAGTGAGGGTCCTCACTGGAAAATATGTGCCATGCAGAAGCAATTAACTTTGAGGTTGTGGCAACTTTGATTTTGTTGTTGTTGCAGTACCGTGTGAACCCTCCTCGTTGTTAGAGGATGAGGTTTTAACTTTGAGGTTTGGCAAACTACGACGCTGCCGTATGAACACAGCTCAAGTGGAATTGTATATCACACAATTGGCAATGACCATACATACCACTCATAGTTTCATCGCAAGTAACCTCAGGATTCTGTAATGGATACAATAACCTGATGACAACTATATCTACTTGGTTGATGAAAGATATGAACAGAACATCAAAGGTTTACTGTTTCATTTTGGTTATAAATTGTCCAAAGTCTCATCTGACAATCATTTGCTTGAAGATAATCTGTTTTCGAAAGATTATGACTTGATATTTCCACTTTAGTCAAAGCTATAAAATGATGTTGAGACAAATTGTCATAAAACTTATCGATGAATGCTCCCCCCTCCCCCCCCCCCTAAAAAAAAATGATTGGACCATGATTGGACAAGCTTGAAACAATTTACTCTCTATGTAACAGCCAATTCAAAAGCATAGGAAAATCTGAAGCAAGCTCATAATGAATTACATTTAATCTTGAAAGAAGATAGGAAGCCTTTGATACCACTGGATACAAACAGAAGGACATTATGTCATATAGTGGCATCAACTATAACATCCTTCCGGCGCTGAAGATCATGATGTAGGGTAATGCTCTGACAGACAGTAATGAGTTTTGTAGGAGCTGACATTCTGGAATAAACTTGCATGTAGACCCTAAGGGGTGGCATCAAGCTTATTTACTACCATCATTCATCATACATGCATGTGTTGCTAAGGGATACGCTTACTGGTATATTAGAATCATTTACAGGGAATGAGGGAGAGACAGAGAGCACCGATGGGGAAGGGAAGATGGAAAGGGAGGAGGAGGAGGAGGAGGAGGAGGAGGAGGAGGAGGAGGAGGAGGAGAAGGAGGAGGAGGAGGAGGAGAGGAGGAGGAGGAGGAGGAGGAGGAGGAGGAGGAGGAGGAGGAGGAGGAGGAGAAGGAGGAGAAGGAGGAGGAGGAGGAGGAGGAGGAGGAGGAGGAGGAGGAGGAGGAGGAAGAGGAGGAGGAGGAGAAGGAGGAGGAGGAGGAGGAGGAGGAGGAGGAGGAGGAGGAGGAGGAGGAAGAGGAGGAGGAGGAGGAGGAGGAGAAGGAGGAGGAGATAGGGATGTAGAGAAAGAGAAACAGAAAGAGAGATGGAGAGTAAAAGGAAAAAAATAGAAAATGGTGAGTCCAAGTTGAAAATGGAATAGCAGGGAAATGACTATCACCTTTTTGGTTCACAGTCTTTGGAATCATTAGTAAAGATCTTCACCCTTTGAGGCCGTACAGTTATTTTTGGTGTTGTGTTACATATGATCAGTGACATTGGGGTGACCTTGGGGTAGAATGCTTTCAAATATAAACACATCAAGAATTTGTTTGACATAGAGTAAACATCTTCATTATTTTCGAGCAGCCCCTGAGAGCTACCCTTATGACCCATGACCTGACATTCAAAGTGACATTGAGATTTGAGACTTGTGTAACAGGATGGTGCTAGCTTCATCCTCTGACTGAGTGTAGGGGGGGGGGGACCATTTAACAGTTGTTATGAAACCATTCATCTTTCAACAAAACTATCAATACTGAAAGCATAAGAAACATCACTGAAACATTTGACAAATGAAAAGCACCCATTCAGGGGGGGGGGGAGAGGCTGTCACAAAGTGTTTCATATCTCTTTAAATTCTAATTCAAAAACATTTCGTACACTTACTTTATGTGAGTGTAGCATTCGGTAGGTCTCATCAAGTAGGCCTACACTGAAATCTGGTTAAAGCTAGACTACTTTGTGCATTTTTTTCCTTTTTAATCAACATATTTTCTGATGAGTGCAATAAAAAGTAGGATTTCAATATCTCTCAAAAAGGAGGACAGCCAATTGACCTTGTACTAGAAACATTTCTACCGGCCTACTCTCTTTGAATTCCCGGAATTTATATCACTGTTGGTGGATGCTAACTAAAGCAATGAACTTATGACCTCCTGGCGGACATGGCAGGGAAACATAATTGCCTGATTTCATGTTGCTCAAAAATGTGTGAGACAGGTGCAGAGAGGATGTATATGGTGACATCCTTCTCGCAATCCAAGTGATAAAAATATGCTCCCTACTGACTCCAAGCTAATCACACAATTACCACGGCTGCAGACATATGAGGACAAGGACTTGGGTTTCATGGCTATCATGAAGTCAGATCAAGTGTGATAGCAGGCGCTCCAGACTTCGCTCCGAACATTGGAAAACATGAAGATAAAAGCGTCTGTTTGGAGCCAGAAGGGCACTGACTCGTTTCATTTTACGCAGTGTTAAAGATAAACTCCAGTACTGGTAAAAAAAATAAAAATAATTCTCACAGAATCAAACGAAACTTACACTGAATGTTCAAGATTACAAATAAATGACATGTGCCAAACAATTTTGGAAGAAAATGTATACTGGCTGAGTAATGAGCATAGAAAGAAAAGGAAACTAAGGTAGTACCATCCCCGACACGATGTGTGTTGTCCCATATATAGCTTTCTATGTGAGTGATTGTTACTTTACCAAGACTCGGTCAAATTTATTATGATTTTGATGACTCCAGAACCTTGCAGTGCACACCAATACTTACATGCTACATGATCAACTGTTTCTGATCCTTTCACACCTTTTCTTTCACAATGCAATCGCATTACCAGTACTAAAGTTTAGCTTTAATGCTCTTCTGGCCCCAAACAGCCAGAATGTATCATTTGATGATATTTGTTTTCTAAAACTGAGAGAAGATTAAACTGAAGAAAACCCTGGCTTGTTAAATAGTATCAATATTTTCTTGTATTTTTTTATTCCTGGAAATGAAATACAATAACATTTTTTTTTTTTTAATTAAACAAAATCATGAATCTTTTTCTTTTCCTTGGAAATGTAATAGATCACAGAATATAAAACATGCCACAATGTCATTTTCCAGGACCTATAAGGCTTAAAATGGTTTTTGGCCTTAGGTAGCTTAGCAAAATGAAGTGGCTTGAAAAGATGTAATATGCATTATAATTAAAGATGTTTGTTAATCAAAAGTTCTTTTTAAACATATTTCAACTTACATTTTGCTATCTTTAAGCATCATAGAGAAGGGATATGCATTTACCAGCTCCACATCCTAACAATGTGGTTCTACCTTTGTGTCTTAAAATCATGATTTGCAACAGTTATGTAGTTTGGATTCCAGAAGCATATTGTTATGTCACTATATGTTGCTAATACCTAATACTTTATCTTGAGTAATGATTTCAAAGGAATGCGAAAAAATACAGAATGGTGTTTACCTGCCTCTTCTTAATATTATGAGAGAGAACACTCCGCACGCTGAACACTCGTCTTAACTTGCGAAACATCTTGATGGCACAATGCTAATTAAGAAGTTTTGAAGCTAGTTCTTCGTATCTAACATCCAAAAGTTTTGATGATGGTACGAGCAGCTTCATATCATGTAAGTTTTGCTCATAGTGACTTGCGCAACTATCCAAACTTCTCAAGTTCTGATACATGCCAAGCAGCAAATTCTGTGTTGAAGGGTGAAAAGTAATTCATAGTCTATCCTTGTATCTTCAGGTTAATATCCTGGTAACTTTAGAACACCAAGGCCTGACAATCGCAAGGAAAAGATCTGTATTGCCAAGTAGGCAAATACAGCATAAATCACTTCAAAAGACGTTCAAACAGAAGTTGATGAAACTAGTAAACGCCACACATATAAACTCCATCACGTCTTTTCAGAATTTCCTGTTCAAGATCCAAGTTCAATTTATCCACATTCTGCAAGATTATGCAGTGCTACAAGGAAATTAACATTCAAAATGAAGGGAAGCTCATCTTCTTATAAAACTCTTAATGTAGAAATTCCAGATCACAATGAACAACATAGTAGTTCGAAGGCAAGTAGGCATCTGTGTTGATAAATTCTGTTATGATGCTAAAGTTCCTAGACAAGAAACACTCAAATGATATTCCACCCTTGACATGGTTAGAGGTACACCTTGGATAAGATATCACAAAGTTGAGAACTTGTTTACAACTCTCCCCAATGAGGAGAGAGAGAGGGCATTACAGATCAGCTGACAGGAGGTATCCAGGCATCACCTTCATAACATTGCTCCATCACTCACAGAATGAAAGTTTGGAACCCAAGTACACTTTCTCTATAACCCTGGAACTTCTGGTAGAGAGAGGGAGAGAGAGAGAGAGAGAGAGAAGTTTCTTTCACCTTCCCGGAGGCATACCAACCAATCACCATAACGACCCCTCTGTCTTGGTTTGGACTTGGCAGTGACTTGGCAGCCACACTGTGCTCTGCCCAGTGAACCCGGTGGGAGAAAACTTATTTTGAGAGCAACTTAAATGAACTCATGCAGACTGACACAAATTCTTGCTTTCTTTCTTTTCTTCCAAGCCCCCATTGCACCCCCCCCCCATCCTCCTCTCTCTATCTTTCTCTCTCTCTCTATCCTCCCATGTCTCCTTGTGTTTTCTGCTGTCTTTTTCTATCCAACTCTCTCTTCTCTCTTTAAAGTAAAAAAGAAATCTTCTCAGGAACTCAGTAATAAACGATGTGTCAGAAATGTTTATCAAGAATAGCTTCAAAATCAGATTTATGAAAAATAAAATTATATATCAAGCTTAAGAATTAGTTTATAATGCTAAATTGTGAAATATAATCAACCTGTTCACTTAAATCTAATTCTAAAATATCAAAATAAAAGACTTTTATTTCATACATGCTATGTAAAATAAACATCTAAAATAATGGAGTGAGTCATTTGCAGCCATAAAAAAGGGGTCATAAAATAAATCAAAAGCATATAGGCATTGGAAGCACAAATGATATGAGAGGAGTCTCTTTGTCCAAAAATAAAGAAATAAGAACATACCACGTTGTGTTCTATTTATTTCTGAAGACTTAATAAAGACTTTTGATATCTGTATTGCACATATATATCACATTCTTCATGTTAAATATTATCTTTGTTTGTCAAATTAGGATCAGTGATTTCATCGGTGATTAGAATCACAAGTAATTCAATTTAAATGAAGGTAGTTCCCCCTTTTACGATAAGCAAAAATTCCATGTCACTTTCAGTGGCTTAGGCATATGGTAGAACCTCCACTAGGCTTAAAAGTGTCATTTGGATGATTTGTGAGGCACGCTTGATTTACCCCTATCTGATCTCAAGAAGTCAGAAGCTAGGACATGAGCAAATGTCAAGGACCAGTCTCCTAATAGTCATCATCTTCTTTTCAATTATATAAATCAGATATGAGACAACCGATCCGTCCATTACTTCTACTCTACCTATTTCATCCTCATCCTTTCACAATTATCTCACACTGTCTCTAAGCGGGTGACAATAATGTGTTTGTTTGTATGTTTGCTTGTTTGTTTTTTGCTTTTGTTTTGATGTTGCATTTTTTGCTTTTGTTATATTTTTGCTTAATTGATTTTTTTGCCCTAGTTTTTTTCATATGCTTTAGCATTTAATTTTGCTTTTGCTTTTGTTTTTGCTTTTGTTTTTGCTTTTGCTTTTGCTTTTGCTTATGCTTTTGCTTTTGTTTCCAAAATTCTCAACAAATTCTGCAAATTTTTACTGAATGAATACTACAAAATAATCTTTCAATGAACTCAACAGAGTATAATAAACAACCAAGAAACAAAGCAATGAAAGATAAGGATGTTAAAAAAACAATTATTCTAAATGTATTTCTGATTTTTCAGCAATTTTTCAATAATTATTTTAAAATCTTGATGTGATGGTGCAACAGTTTCTTCAGTCAGTATAGTGTGTTCCAGGCTTCAATTCATCAAGTTGAGAAAGGATTTTAGGTTTTAGGGTTATGGTTAGGAATAGGTATAGAGTACTGAAGTTATGATTTTATTACTATTAGAAATTGATCACAAGGTGATCCTATAGGATAATAACTTTGTAACTAATTCACTGAGAAACAAGACAATCCCCTTCCAGGATTTTACTACTTTCCTTTTACAAAGTTCTTGATAAGCATTTATGAGAAACAAGCTTTCTACTATGATCTTTTCAAGAGAGAATGTATGAGAAAAGAGAATGGGAGTAGGTCAGTGACAATGCTGATCCTTGGCATACTTATAGAGAATGGAAGATGTGATGATTAATTCCCAGTCACTGTCTTCCCATCCATGCTTGCCTTCAAGCAAGATTTAGCTCTCTCACTCTTTTGGAAGATAATTTTCAAGTCGATTTCATGCTCGTCAATGGTCTACTTGACTATGAAATTGAAAGTGCATTATGGACAATTATTCCGCTTCAGTATGATCCCTTGCTAATCAAAGGAACAAGAAAACTTATCACTCTTATTACTCAAATTACCTCATATTTTGTTATTGAATATTTATCCTATTATCTATATACAGATAAACATTTTTTTTAAATAGTTTTTTTTTAATTCAAAACAAAAATAGGTTGCATTTTAGAATGAATGTTTAAGAATTGTTTGCATGAGACTGACCTAATAAATGGAAATAAAATACGCTCTTATAACCACAACCATATTAAAGTGCCCTGAATTTACCAATAAACATCAATTTTTATGGTCATTTAGTATATTTTTAAGAGACTAAAACTTACAACACTCATTTGGTTGTCCAATGACTTAAGACACTTTTTCAAAGTTTAATAAATCTTCTATTATTCTAATCCCATTAATTCATGATTGCTACAAATGTAATACAAAAAAAGTAATATATATATTTTGTTGTTGTTATTATTGTTCTTTGCTATGTGAACTAGCAAAAGCTTGTCTAACAAGAAATCTCATTGTTTTTCTTTTAATTCATCTTCGTCTCTACCCTTCCCCATTCTTTCCCCTTGCAGCCCCCTCCCGAACCCTGCCTAAACTTCTCCAGCCCCCCTCTTTCTCTCTCTGTCTTTCTTTTTTTCTCCCTCTCTCTCTCTCTCTCTCTCTCCCTCTCTCCCTCTCTCCATATCCCCTCTGGCATGTAATCTAGAGTAGGTTAGTGCAGTCAATAGGAGCTCCTGCACAGAATGTCCTACACTATAAATTGAGATTTGGTGTGAATATGATTGCAGTTCACTTTGGTCTCTTCATGTCCTCCTGTCTATCATTCATGCAACACCCTAAGGCATTATGGGTAGAGATTTGTTGAAGTGCAGTTAAAAGATCTTTAACCTTTTCTCTCTGTATTTAACCTATATATGAATAGGAAAGGTTATACATGTATCAAACTGATTTCTCTACGGTTTAATGACTAAAAATGTTCTTTTTCATTTAGATAGAGTAATAGTAATAAAACAATGGCCTTTTCCATAAGTATAATCATCTCTCTATTTTTAAGATGTATGTATTAAGTATTATTGATATAAATGTAGGAGTGAAAGTATCCATTGTAAACTTACATTTCTAAATAAAAAATCTGCTAGTTTGATCTGACTGAACGTGTAATAACCTGAACACATCGAATCTTAAACTTTCCTATGAAACAGTCGGCAAAGCATCTTCTGTAATCTCTTTAGCAAGATTTTCTGAGAAGTATTTTTGTTATAAAAAGTACATTGACACAAAGAAAGTCTTTCCCCTTTCTCTTCCTCACTCTCATTATCAATCCCCAATCACTTCAGTGAGCTAAAATTAGCACTCTGGCACAGATTCCAACAAATAGATGTCCTACATTTTCAAGACATTTACTCTTTAGAATTCCTGAGGACTTTAAGCGATGGCGGTGTTCTGTTATTGTGTGGGCCGATGCAGCGGGCGGCGGTGGCGTAGTGCCGCGGCAAAGTAATGATGAATCATTGGAATGACGATACAGCAAGTACCCAGAGGGTATATAATCTCAGAAAGCAATGGAATTGAGGGTATCAAGGGAGAATGGTGTTTGCATGCAATGGGACCGCATCAAGGGTGTACGTGACTGGTAGAATGAAGACGCCGATGTCCTCCGGTCTGACAGGTAACGCATGGGTGAACTCGGCCCATTGCTGGTATGATCATCAGGAGATTGGAAGATTCTTGATCCTCGTAAAGTCACAATATCTCAATTTAATCTTTCAAATTGGAGAACTACTTGGATAAGTTGCATAAGGTATGCTCAGAGATATAATGGAACAGAGATATAATCATGAGAGAGAGAGAGAGAGAGAGAGAGGGGGGGGGGGAGAGAGAGAAATGAAGAGATATTTAATAAATAATTTTGCATTAAAAGACATCTCAGAGCCCTGTCTGTACGCCCCTACTTTAAAATTACTAATTCATACATGCTCTTCTTTCACTCATAAATTTTCAATCAGGATTAAAAAAAAACCTCCCGCGTTACATCAAATAAAACAGACAATGTCTATAGTTGTTTTTGTAATATATCTAACTGACCAGTAGGATTAAACTTGATTAATTTTTCATATTTCAAATAAGACAACCATGATAAATTCAGGAATCTCCAATAGAAATCTCAGAATTTCTGCAGTGAAATAAAGTGAAGATACCTACATGTCCAAGATCTTGTGCATGAATGTGCAATATGTATCATTATGACGTACAAGTACAGTATTGAGTCCCTGTCCATAAGTTCAAAACAATATTTGAAGGATGATAGAGGGCAGTATGTATCATTCTTCTTAGAACGCCAGTGGAACACTGGCATACATTTTGGGGACACATCAAAAGGAAAGAGATCATATTTGGCATAACTTATTTATTTTAGTATTTTCATAGCTGTATGGACCGTCAAGTTGATTGGCTGCACATTTCTTGCCAATTTAAGGTTATAGTGCTAGCATGACTAGTTGGCAAAGAATCATGTATATTTATATGTCTTTTTAAACCAAAATAAATATATGAAATAAATAAATAAATAAAAAATAAAAATACTTGGTCTTATAAACTTCTGTCATGATCTGAAGAGTCTGGTAAACTTTTCATGAGAATCGTTTATACAAATCCATTTTCATAGCATTTCTACATGAAGCAAAACAATTGATATATCACATCCATCTTTTTTTAAGAATGTTATATTGTCTAGTCACTTCAAAAAAATGATTACCGGTAAATCATTATAATATTGAATGTAAGA